TTTGCATATAAACACAACCCCCAGTTCTTACTGGGTCTGTAGCCTACTTGGAAAAAATGGCTTCTCTGCAGCTGTTCTTTCTTCTACCATAAATCCTGGGGCCTCTTCCATCTCCACAGGAAGCCCCCTGTCCAGCCCTGCCCTATCCTAGGAGTTGGTTAGTCTGAAGCAAGCAACTGGAGCCTTCCAAGGCACTTGCAAGTGGCATGGATGATGTCCATGGGGTTGCTATGGGAGCTATTAGAACAGGAAGGCCATCCTGGGGGCCTCCATCTCTTTGATAGCCCAAGTTCTCCTAAGCCCCTGGCAGGTAGAGCCAAGCCCAGGGTTTAGGGAGGAAGCAGCCACTGGCCAGGGCATTGGAGTGGGCTTCTTAGAAGAAGAACAGGCAGGAGAGGAGAGATGGAGCAGGACCAGGCCAGGCTGGAGAGCAGAGTCCACATCTGGAGAACAGATGCCCAGGCCTCTGGCTCCTGGCAGTTGGCTAGGTAATTAGGCAGAGGGCTAATTAAGGAGGGCCAGGTGTTCATTGAAATCTCCTAATGGGGTAAGGAAGCTTGGGAAGCACAGGCCTCCGCACCTTCCAGTAGGGTCAGTTTAGGGTCCTTCGTGCCTGTCTCGGCCCTCGCCATCCTTCTTCCAGTGTCACAGTTAGAGTTCATGTTCTTGCCCAAGGGCAATGTGGAATGGATAACAGAAGAGGAAAAAGGCTAGTACAGACTGAGCTTGCTTTATTGGAGAGCTTGTGGTTAGATAGGAGGAAGGACTGCCCAAGGCAGGAGCATCTCCTCCCACCTCTGGAAATGTTGACAACCGAGGGAGTAGAGTAGGGAAAGGGACCTAGGAGGCATAGAATTAGCAAGAGTGTTCTGAGCTACCTTGGAGAGAGGAGGGATAGAGGGGGCCTGGTCTGACTTCTGTCTGTCAGAAGATACTCAGTGGATCTCTATGGCTTCTCTGCCTTTTCAGCCCTGATCCCTCTCACATCCCAGCTCCCCCAGCATGAGGCGGGGGTGTGGGGGGGGGTGTAGGAGATCAGCCAGGGAGCTGGTTGCCAGGAAACAGTTGCCTAAGCAACCCCATCCTCTCTATCTCCATGTGCTTAGGGCTGCTCCTTAGAAGACTTTAGAGTCTCACCCTCTGTACCAGCCAACCTGAGGATAGGGAAGGTTGCAGACTACTAACCAACCTGAGGGTGGCAGAGGTGGTTTGGAGGGTGGTTGATATCCAAAATGATAAGGTTTAAGAACAGATGGTAGAGAAAAGTTCTAGTTGCACGGATGATTAAAGTGAGAAGAGCTGTACTGCAATAAGACTGACAGAAGTTAGACTGCAAGAAGGACTTATCACATGATCATAACAACAAAATAATCTTTTCTTCTCATATTTCCTGAGCTCCTTTGTATTGGCTATAGCATATGAAAAAGGCAGATCTAGGGGCTGGGAAGGTGGCTCAGTGGTAGAGCACTTGGCCTTGCATACCTGAGGCCCTGGGTTCGATTCCTCAGCACCACATAAGCAAAAAGAAAAAAGCTAGAAGTGGCGCTGTGGCTCAAGTGGTAGAGCGCTAGCCTTGAGCTGAAGAGCTGAGGGACAGCGCCCAGGCCCAGAGTTCAGGCCTCATGACCGGACCCAAAAAAGAAAAAAGAAAAGAAAAAGGCAGATCTAGTTCCTGCCCTCATGAAGTTTCAGTCTCATAAGGAAGCCAGCGTTCAATAGAAGCACGGAATTGTAATTATTTATATTTGTGGTAAGTGCAGGAAGACTTCAGGAGTGGCTTTTTGAGGATGATGAGAACAATGAGAGGTTTTCTTCCAGCTTGGTGGCGATTGTGCTGACCATAAGCTGAGATTCCATTTCAGCAACTGCTTGTGACCAAGGGTGGTGAGAGGCAGCAAGCGGGAGCGAGGCGGAGGACAGCTGCAGGAGCAGAGGGGTACAGTCTAGATGGGGGCCAGAGAATCCAACTTGGTGGAGCTGGGCATGGTGGTGCATGCCTGTAATCACAGCACTCAGGAGGCTAGGGTAGGCCGCTCATGCATTTGAGGACAGCCTGGGCTAGATAGTAACTTTCAGGCCAGCCAGGACTGCAGAGACTCTGTCTCAAAATAAAACACAATACAATAGAAAGCGAACTTGTCATAGGCCCCAATGCCCTCCCATCTTTGCTATCCCATTGCAAGCAGTTTTTAGATTGCCCCCACAAAGGGTGTTGGGGTTGGTCAGTGGGAGTTCAGGGTCCTGGGGGCTGATACTTGTTCTGGGCTAGTTAAAGCTAGTTGAGCCATTGGTGGTATTCTAGGATGTATGTGCGGGTGACGGGAACTGACTATGGTGCATGTTAAGGGCAAGGATAAGGATAGAGGGGTCTTTGAGGAGCGGCAAGGAGCTATGCTGAGGGGCAGAGCAGGGGAGCCTGAGAGAGCAGCCCTGTGATAGTCCAGATTCTTCTTTCTTCTCTTCCTTCTTGCCACAGCTAGAATGAACTTTAGCATTTACTGTGGAATCTTGGGACCACAGTGTGGGACTAGAAAGATGCAGGGATGCTCAGCAGCCATTGGTGGTGGAAACTGGGGGTAGAGTCCTCTGTCATCTCTGTTGTGGCTCTGCCCAACTTAGATGGAGGTCATATGGACACTAGAGTCCACCTCCTTGTGCTCTACAATGGACTGTCTAGGAAGGGTCTTCACAGAGGGGACTCCAGAGGGGAAGGCTGGACTTCTTTGGGTCAGGCTTCTCCCAGGACAGAGCTGAAATGGCTTTAGCAAATATGCCCACCTCTACCATCTTCAAGAAAGTTCCAACCTTGATTCAGAGACTCCTGGAATGATAGAGCTAGAGAGTCATCTCCATCCCATCCTTGGCCCTTCTAGTCTCCAAGGGCCCATTCAACTTAGGTGGCCCCATACAGACCTGGTAGCATACATCTTTTCTGACTTAAACTGTGCCGTTCTTATCCCATGGTTTCCTCCAGAGATGCACAATGCAGGGTTCCCTTTTTGTTGTTGTTGACCATGGGGCCTGAACTCTGGGCCTGGGCGCTGTCCCTCAGCTCTTCAGCTCGAGGCTAGTGCTCTACCACTTGAGCCACAGCACACTTCTGGCTTTTTCTGCTTATGTGGTGGTGAAGAATCGAACCCAGGGCCTCATGCTTGCAAGGCAAGCACTTTACCACTGAGCCACCTTCACAGCCCCGGGTTCCCGTTTTTTTTTTTACCTTGGCTCTGAGAATAGGATTGTAGGCCATTGAGTTGGTTATAGGTATCCCAAGATGGGGATCCTATGATAAAGAATGGTCAAAAATACTCAGATTGGTGTCTTAGACCTGGCCAGGACCTCTAGGGCAGGAGTTAACAGAGTGAGCCCCTTTTGTACATGTAATTCTGTTGTAGCACAGCCCCTATCTACTCACTTGTTCATTGTTGCTTTCAGCTGCTTGCACACTGCCATGGTAGAAATGAATAGTTACAATGGACTGTATAGTCTGCAGAGCCTCAAATACTTTAGCTGAAAGTGGAGTGAAACATCTACAGCACAGTTCCTAGGCCCTGAGTTCAAGCCCTAGTATCAGCCCTAAATAAGGAAAGAGAAAGGAAGGAAGGGTGAGAGGGAGAGAAAAGAAGTGAAGAGAAGGGGCTGGGAAGGTGGTAGAGCGCTTGCCTTGCATGCTTGAGGCCCTGGGTTCGATTCCTTAGCACCACATAACCAAAAAGAAAAAAAGCCAGAAGTGGCGCTGTGGTTCAAGTGGTAGAGCGCTAGCCTTGAGCTGAAGAGCTGAGGGACAGCGCTCAGTCCCAGAGTTCAGGCCCCACGACCGGACCCCCCCGAGAAAAGAACAGCAATGATGCATACTGGGCACCAGTGGCTCACGCCTGTATTTTTTTTTTTTTCTTTTGCTGGTCATGGGGCCTGAACTCTGGGTCTGGGTGTTGTCCCTCAGCTCTTCAGCTCAAGGCTAGCACTCTACCACTCACTGGAGCCACAGTGCCACTTCCAGCTTTTTCTGCTTATATGGTGCTGAGGAATCGAACCCAGGGCCTCATGCATGCAAGGCAAGCACTCTACCACTGAGCCACCTTCCCAGCCCTCATGCCTGTAATTTTAATTACTCAAAAGGCTGAGGTCTGAGGATTGTGATTCAATACCAGGCCAGGCAAGAAAACCTGAGACTCTCATCTCCAATTCAACACCAAAACAGCTGGAAGTGGAGCTGTGGCTTAAGTGGTAGAGTGCTAGCCTTGAGCAGAAAAACTCAGGGACAGCACCCATGGCCTCAGTTCAAGCCCTGGGACTGATATAAAAACTTCAACACTCCAAAAGAAAAAAAATAATTGCTGATTTCTCTAGAATAGTCACCTGTTTCTGTGTATTTAAGCAGCAGAGCTTTCTTCAGATAAATATTTTAGGCCAAGGCCCACTGAATAAAGCAGATTGTTGCAGAGGAGCTCTGGTTGGAGATGGGGATTCTGTAGCTCCAAGCCCCATAGTAGGACTCCCCAGGGTTCTCAGGGTTCCCAGTTCTATGTGAGGAACACTGCTGTGAGTTGGGATGCTGTGCTGGCACCAAGCATCCCCTGGCTGTTGCTTGTGGCTGGAGCAGACATTCCTCAATGTACTCTCTACACTAAGATCCAGAATGGGAGCCCTGGTTCCAAGCCAGAGGGGCAGCTGGGGAGCCAGGGTAAGCTCTAGGGCAAAGAAGAACATGTTCTTCTCTAAGACCCAGACCCTGAGAAGCCAGGAGCTCTATGTCCTTGGTCTGATCCGGAGCCTGATGGCAGCAGTGATGGTGGGGCAAGAGCCTGGACCAGGGTCCTGAGCCTCTGCATGAGCTCAGCTTGGCATACCATTGCCTCAGGTAGCCTGCACTGTCTCATGTTGAGATTGGGATACATGTATCTCCAGATTCTCACAGGTGCTGCGAACTTTATCCACTTCTCCAAGGAGCAAGCTGGGGACTACAGGTGCTGACAGACCTCTTGTTGACTTTCACCTTTCAGGACATTGTACATAAAGTCATATAGGCCATGAACTGAGCACCGATCCCGGACTTTCATGAGCACAGCGTGAGGTGCACTCAGACCTGCCACCCATCAGCCCCTCCCCTCCCTAGCATTGAGGACTTCCAGAGAAGATGGGGAGGAAAAAGATTCAGATCCAGAGAATCACTGATGAACGAAATCGACAGGTGAGGAAGTTCTAGATCCCCACAGGGTGGGTGAGATTAGGAGCCAGCTGGCTTCTACACTGCCTTTTTCTAGCTCTCCACGAGGGCTACCTGGGAGAGGAGGAAGGCAGGAGACTATGACAGAGGAGGTGGGTTTGAGTTGGGAGAAGAGCAGGCCCTACCTCATGTGCCTCCACATTTTTGTCCCAGGCTCCATTACAACCAAATGAACCTGGATCCCCACCCCAGAGCCTACCTGGGGACTTCCTATCCCACCTTCCCAGTGCAAATCTTTTACTTCTTTTCACCCTGAGAGCCTTTCTGCTTTCTCTGCTCCACTGACTTCTCCTTAGCCCCAACACAGAGGTGTGGAGTCCTAGACATCTAGATCCTCTCTCTACTACGAGTTGGCTCAGAGCTGTTTTTGGCCATTGCTAATTGAGGGTTGCTAGCCTTTTTGTTCCATACATCAGGGACTCCTGAGGGTCGTGTCTGTGTCACACTAAGCATAGGGACTACTTCATACAAGTTGTATCTAGCTGCCTATAGACAAGGACTCCTGGCAGCCCTTGACTGAGCTAGACCAGGCTGCCTACCACCACTCCTGCAGGTGACATTCACCAAGCGCAAGTTTGGACTGATGAAGAAGGCGTATGAGCTGAGTGTGCTATGCGACTGTGAGATTGCCCTCATCATCTTCAACCACTCCAACAAGCTGTTCCAGTATGCCAGCACCGACATGGACAAGGTGCTCCTCAAGTACACTGAGTACAACGAGCCACATGAGAGTCGCACCAATGCTGACATCATCGAGGTGGGCCCACATGTGCAGATCACCTTCTGTCTATATCTACATGCACTTAGTAATCTCTCACCTCTGTGCATGCACAGATAAACCCACCTCCTCTTAGGCAAACCCAGGCCTGGAGGAGGAAAGAGAGTAAAGAAGGTACGGAAGGGCCAGAGATTTCTGGCTCCCAGGTGGGGGGTCTCTGACTCTACCTCTTCCCTTTGGGGGTCTGTCTGCCAGAGAGCCTTTTTGTCTTCTCTCAGATTAGTTTCTGCCTCTTCCCCTTTCTCTATCCTTTGGACTGCTCTTGCGTCAGACTTTTCCTTTTTATGTTTGCTTATTTGTATCTATCTCTGCTGTTTCATCTCTGACTCTTGGTGGGTCCCTATGGCTCTGTTTTCTGTTTTAAGAGAGTTGACATTGTGAACTGTTGAAGGACATAAGCTTTGGAGTTCAGCTCTGGCCTTTATGGCCATGTGGCCTTGGCCAAGTGCTTTGGCTTTTTTGAGTCATGATGTCGCCCTCCACAGAAATGGGGCAGTCCTCCTATTATGTTTTTTTTTTTTTGGGGGGGGGTCTGGTTGTGTGGCCTGAACTCAGCCTGGGCACTGTCCCTCAGCTCTTCAGCTCAAGGCTAGCACTCTACCACTTGAGCCACAATGCCACTTCCGGCTTTTTTTTCTTTTTGCTTATGTAGTGCTGGGGAATCGAACCCAGGGCCTCATGAATGCAAGACAAGCGCTCTACCACTGAGCCCCCTTCCCAGCCCCTGTCCTCCTGTTATGGGTATTCTGTAAATGCATTTAAGAGGCCTAACTGTACTTTTTTTTTTTTGCCAGTCCTGGAGCTTGAACTCAGGGCCTGGGTGCTATCCCTGAGCCTTCTTGTGCTCAAGGCTAGCACTTTACCACTTGAACCACTGCACCACTTCCAGCTTTTTTGTTTTTGGTCGGGGCTTGAACTCTGGGCTTGGGCACTGTCCCTATGCTCTTCAGCTCAAGGCAAGAGCTCTACCACTTGAGCCACAGTGCCACTTCTAGTTTTCTAGTGGTTTATTGGAGATAAGAGTCTCATGGACTTTCCTGCCCGGGCTGGCTTTGAACCATGATCTTCAGATCTCAGCCTCCTGTGTAGGTAGGATTACAGGTGTGAGCCACCAGCACCCGGCTCACTTCCAGCTTTTTTGAGTAGTTTATTGTTAAGAGTCTCAAGGGGACATTTTGCCTGGGCTGGCTTCAAATCACAATTCTCAGATCTCAGCCTCCTGAGTAGCTAGGATTATAGGCATAAGTCACTGGCACCTGGCCTAACTGTACTTTTTTTTTTTTGGCCATGGCTCTGTCTCTCAGTTCTTCAGCTGAAGGCTAGCGCTCTACCACTTGAGCCACAGCGCCTCTTCTAGTTTTGAGTGGTTTATTGGAGAAGAGTCTCACGGACTGGCTTTGATCTGTGATCCTCAGATCTCAGCCTCCTAAGTAGCTAGGATTACAGGCATGAACCACTGGTGCTGGGCTAACTGTACTTTCGATACAGTTTTGTGGTAAAGAAAATGGTACCTAGGAAGCCATAGGCCTACTCACAAAGATTTGGAGAAAATGGCCTGGTTTTTATGTTAGAAGAGACAGATCTACTCTAGACTAGAAAGTGGACATTGCAATCTTTTGAAAAACAAAGTATCTGTGAAAGTATTCCAAACCTGGCTCCAGTGGCTCATGCCTGTAATCCTACCTACTCTGGAGGCTGAGATCTGTGGTTCAAAGCCAGCCTGGGCAGGAAAGTTCATGAAATTCTTTATCACCAATTACCCACCAAAACACTTGAAGTGGAGCTGTGGCTCAAGTGGTAGATGGCTAGACTTGAGCAAAAAAGCTCAGAGTTAGTGCCCAGGGCCTGAGTTTAATTTCTAGATTCCCTCCCCCCCCAAAAAAAAAGAAAAGAAAGTATTCCGCATATGATTGCAGCCTTGGGTCTCCTGCAGACTCATAGTATACATACTTCTACTTTGTGGAGGTTACTGTGGCAGGTAAAATTCATGTGAGAAGCTTTGGCCTCTGGACAAGAACAGTGTGGGGGTGCTAAACATCAGGAGCTCAGTAAGTGCTAGTTTCCTCTTTGCTTTCCTCTATCTTGTTCCTCTGCCTCTCTGTCCCTATCTCAATATCTCTTTTCTTATGAGCTGTTCTCTGGTTGGGATAGGGGCAAATCTCCACTGACTATACCCAATCCAACTCCTTGGGGGAGTGCACATTGCCTTCTAGCCTCTTGGCCTTTTGGTCAGGCTGGGGCTGGCCCAGAACACCAGCCCCTCAGCAGTCACTGGAAGCCTAATCTCTGCATCCCATAACATGGAGTATTCTCTCACCTAGCAGTGGCCTAGAAGTACTGTGGGGTAAGGGGAGGGAATTCTGAGGAAGGAGCTGAGGACATCTGGGAACCCTGAGGAAGGTGGTTAGACAAGAATAGGAGTCTTAGGGAGGGCTAGAAGGAACTGAGAGATAAGACAAGAAGGACCCTTGCTGACTGGCTGACAAGTGGTGCGGTTACAGACCCTGAGGAAGAAGGGCTTCAATGGCTGCGACAGCCCCGAGCCTGACGGGGAGGACTCACTGGAACAGAGCCCCCTGCTGGAGGACAAGTACCGGCGCGCCAGTGAGGAGCTGGACGGGCTCTTCAGGCGCTATGGGGTGAGCCCCACTCACTCTCTCTTTCTGTTGGCCCCCTTCTGGCCCCTTCCCCCCAGGCGCTGCACAAGAAGCACAGGGAGTGTGAGAGCCCTGAGGTGGACGAGGTGTTTGCCCTGACCCCCCAGACGGAAGAGAAATATAAAAAGATAGACGAGGAGTTTGATAAAATGATGCAGAGTTATAGACTGGCCGTGAGTAGTCGCATGGAGGAGAGCCTCCCTGTGGTGCATGGTGTGGCTTCTCGCCCGGCCCAGCCCAGGCTGCCTCTGATGGATGTTCTGCTCTGAGCCATGCTGGGACTAGTGGTGACCACCAAGGAACTCCCAACGTTGATTGTGATAGCCATTTGGCTCTTGCTGAGACCCATCTTGAATGGAGCACAAGTCATCCTCACTAGCAAGAAATATGTAGATGACATGTTGTCCTTAGAGGATAGGAAAGTAGTGTGTGTTCTGTAGCAGGTCATTTTGGAGGAGAGGCCCTCTTGGGCTGCTCTGGTGGCCCTACCTAAGGTACTCAGCTTTGTTCAGGGAAATTGATAAGGGAAAGGCCATGAGGTGGGTGCAGATTCCCTCTGCAGCAGGCCAGGTGGAAGGGTGAATGTCAGTGAAGCAATGTCCTGACTGTGACACAGTCCTTTAGCAGCTGTGTGTGTGAATTTGGGGCTGTCCTCAGGTCCTCTAACCTGCTCCCAGTGTGTCCTGCCTGGCTGAGGACTAACCCATCTCCACTAGGGGTATCCCTGGTCCCATCTGCAGTGAGAAGAACCTTGCCTTCTGGGCTAGAGCTGGATCCCACAGTGTTCCTGCCTCCATGGGGAGAGGCAGGCAGGGCTACCAGAAGACCCAGGCTAGGGAGCTCAAACTGCTGCTATAGCAGCATAGCCCATAAACCAGAAGATCCCTTGCCTGCCCTCCCAGGGTGAGTGTGTCTAGGAAAAGGGTTGACTTGGCCTGACGTTACCCTCCATCTTTCTGTCTAGTCAGCTGTACCAGCTCCCAACTTTGCCATGCCAGTCACGGTGCCTGTGTCTAATCAGAGCTCACTGCAATTCAGCAATCCCAGCAGCTCTCTGGTCACCCCTTCCCTGGTGACATCGTCCCTCACAGATCCACGACTCCTGTCCCCACAGCAGCCAGCACTACAGAGGAACAGTGTGTCTCCAGGCCTGCCTCAGCGGCCAGCTAGTGCAGGTGAGTAGAGTGGAAAATGTGTAGGTGAGGTGGAAATGAGCTGTACAGGGGACTCTGGCATTTCATTTTCAACAGGGAGGGAATCTTTCCTTCCCATGGCATTCCTAAATTTGTGTGGCACCTGAGGGAAGGGCATAGGACTCCTTTTCCTGGGTTCCTCTTCCTGTTCAGTCCCAAGACGAATTATAGAAGGGGGAGTGCTATTGGCTTATCATGGTTCTGCTTTTTTCCCAGGCGCCATGCTGGGGGGAGACCTCACCAGTGCTAATGGAGCCTGCCCCAGCCCTGTTGGTGAGTGCAGCTACTTTTCACCTGGCTGGGAAGGTCTACTGCTTGGTGGTTTCAGGTCAAAAGAGCCAGAGGAGAGGAAGGTGACAGGGCCCGAACTCGAACTAAGTCCCTGAATTTTGGTGCCTGTACTAGTAGCTGGTATTGGATGATCAACAGAGTTGAAGGCTGAGAAAGCTGAGAATGGAGCAGCATTGCTAGTTGGAACAGAAGACCCCAGATTTTTCAGTTGAATAGGGGTGTCTGGTCGGGATCTGAAAGATGGGAGTGTCTGGCCTTGCGTAGAACAGTAGGCACAGACTTGAGCATGCATTCCCCTGCACACGGGCCTTTCCATTTGTGGAATATGTAGGCATAGATGCACATTTTCAGGCAGGCACACATATAGGAGCCTTCCTCCTCCCTCCAGCAGCTGACAGCCCTCCTGCTCTGTGTGCCATCCGTCTGGGTGGCTGTGACTCCTAATGTCACTATTGACGTCACTCTGACATTCCTGCCATTCCCAGAATGATCTGGGATTTGGGATGGAAGCAGCCACACACTTTTAGGGTATCAGTATGCTCTTATGGGACAGAACATGGTGGCATTTTCTGACTTCAGTCACCCTCACATCTCTGGACGTCAAAATGTCCCAGCTCAGTGGCAGCTCAGCAGGGTATTGGGGGTATGAATGAATACTCGCTTCTTTTCCAAGGAAAAGGTAAGAGAAATGCTTTCAGACCTTGCTTGTAGGCTTTTGAATGCAGCATGTGGGAAGCAAATTACAGTCCTGCTTGGCCTCTAGCCAGTGGTGTGGCCCTGGACAAGTCATTACGCCTCTCTCATCCAGGCTCAAGTTTCCTCTTCTGTACACAGGGCTATTAATGCATGTCCTGTCTGTCTTGTAGGGTTAATGTGAGGGCTAAATGAGATAATATGTGTGTGCAAGGCCTGTGTACATTGTGGAGCGTGAAATAGACGTAAAAGATAGTTATTATGCCTGTTATTACTAGTCTAATTATGGTGGTGGCTGTGTCGTCAGTTCCCTACTGCCAGTAACAGCATCACCACCAACAAATGGCCTGTCTTCCTCAGGCTATAGGCAGTTCTTCATGTGCTGATCCCAAGTATAGCATCCCCCAGCTCATGGCAAAGGGATCAGTCCTGAGTGGTTAGTCCTGGTGGCCAGGCTCTTCACAGGTTCATTTTGGGTCCTGTTTGGAGGTAGAATGTGGAATCTGAGAATGCTGGACAAAGAGATACTGGGAAGAGGCTTGGCCACAAGGCTTCTTCCTTGTCCATGGCGAGTCAAAAGGCAGTGATCGTTTCTAGTTCTGCCTTCCAGCCTTAATGCTCCCACTAGCCAGTTTCATCAACTGTGGCTTTGGTTTAGATTCAAGGGTGTTCACAGGACAGGAAAGCTTTAGGGAATACCAGGCAGCTAAGCACCCACTCAGAGCTTGAACATGGCTTTGAGAAGTTCTCAGTGTTAGGAGTAGTAGGCCTTAAATACTTAACAGGGCTGAGGGCCAAACTGATGTTTTTCTTTCTCATCATTTCACTTCTGCAGGAAATGGCTATGTCAGTGCTCGAGCCTCCCCTGGCCTCCTCCCTGTGGCCAATGGAAACAGCCTAAACAAGGTCATCCCTGCCAAGTCTCCACCCCCACCTACCCACAGCGCCCAGCTTGGAGCCCCCAGCCGAAAGCCCGACCTGCGGGTCATCACTTCCCAGGGAGGCAAAGGGTTAATGCATCACTTGGTGAGTGTGTATCAGGGCTGTAGCAGAGGGTGGGTGTGAGGAAGAAGAGAAGAGAAAACTTGTAGCAGGAATGATAAAGGTTAGTCACAGTTAGGATTTCTCACAAGAGATCATGAAAGCATGGCTTTTTATAAGCTCTTTCTTCCCCAGGACCCCTTATCAGATTAGAGCACAGAAAATCAGCCTAAGGGCAACAGAAAGGGACAGGAGGTGGGAAAAGGTTCTGTGGTGGGGAGAATACTAGAAGGTATTCATATTATAATAGGATAGTGGGGACCAGATCATTGGTTAAGGTCAGAATGTAGCATCTTCTTGAAATGAGTTCAGGAGAGCTCTGTCCTTATGGGTCAGGGAGAGTATCTTGCTCTTAGACAGAAGAGAGAGCATCCTGCTCTTAGGCAGAAAGGTGAATGGATGGCAATGGGGGGAAGGCAGAGGCCAGACACTGAACCATCCACTTGGTTTTATTTCTGCTCCCAGACTGAGGACCATTTAGATCTGGTAAGTGAGGCTCTGAAACGTTCATAGTGTCTTTGAATTTTGGGTTAGCCCACGGCTCTGCAGCCCTGCAGCATGAAGTATATGTGTCTTGTCCTTCCACCTGTATGCGTAATTGTGTGGTGTTTGATTATTTGCTGGAAGCTATGCTTACTGCCAAGTGGGATACTAAAGTGAATGGGGCAGGGGCAGGGGTTGATATTCATGCATGTATAACCTGTGTGTGTGCATGGATGTCTTTGGGATGTACATTCATTGAGATGTGTCTATGTGTATCTAGAAAGGCTTCAGAGTTCCTGACCATGCTGCTTCAGTTCAAGCCTTGGATCCCACTAGCCTTATGACTTCACTTAGGCCCATACAACATTCCTGAAACCCAGAACAGGAGCCTAATCCATAAGAGGGAAAGTCCAAGAAAGTCAGTTTCCCCAGGGAAATGAGTGGATGCCCAAGCCAAAGCTGGAGTTGTCCTTAGTGGGGGCCTCCCTGCCTTTGTTTCGGCCTTGTGCTCCCTCTTACACTCTGCCCGTCTCACCAGCACCCAGCACCATACACAGCTACTCCTTTTTTTCTCCCTCCCTCCCTCCCTCCTCTTTCTCACACTTACATATTTACCGGCAGCCAGGAATGGGGCGGGGGCTTCTCTCTCCCCAGCTCCCTGACAGGAGGCCAGAGAAGCTGGAAAAGGCAGGCAGACTTTGGCGGCCAACACAGCGGCAGTTTCGGCCCCAGTGTTGAATTGGAATAAACAAGTGACTCAGCGGCAGATGGAGCTGACAGCCCCACACACGTGTGTGCATACATGCAGGCACACGCCACTCCAGGCCCCACATTCCCCTCCCAGATGCCAGCACACGTTTTCCGGGGCATCTGCTGCAGTGTGATGGATGGAGAGTAGACTCTGAGGACCTGGCCACAGGAAGAATGTGTCTCTTGCTTTTATCCCTTTGCCTGAGAGCCCAAACCAGTGTTGGTGTTGGGCCAAAGGGCCAGCACACATACCTTCCTTTGCACGTATGCAGGTGTGAATGAATCTGTGTGCACACATTTCTCTCTGTGGTTCTTTGTGTCTGACTGCACCATATTGTGTATGGGTATTCATGGAGTCTCCATGCTAAGGCACTGCACCTTGGCCTTGGAATTCTGAGACCGCACTTTCGTATGGATGGCTAGCCTAAGGCAGCCCATCCATCCAACCGCTACCTCCTGACAGTTAGTTTGCTCTTACAGAACAATGCCCAGCGCCTTGGGGTCTCCCAGTCTACCCACTCGCTCACCACCCCAGTGGTTTCCGTGGCAACGCCGAGTTTACTCAGCCAGGGCCTCCCCTTCTCTTCCATGCCCACTGCCTACAACACAGGTGAGTGTGTGACACCTCTGCGTACACTTGGGACAGGTGAGTCACCAAAGGAAAAAATTACTAGCTCTACCCCAAAATGAGGAAGGCATTGATTGCTCCACTGGGCACAGGTGGCTCATGCCTATAATCTTGGCTACTCAGGAGGCCGAGATCTGAAGATCTAAGTTCCAAGCCAGTCCAGGTAAGATGCCTGTGAGACTTTTATCTCCAATTAACTACCAAAAAGGCTGGAAATAGAGCTGTGCCTCAAGTGGTAGAGCACTAGCACGAAAGCTCAGAGATAGCACCCAAGCCCTGAGTTCATATTTCCCCCTCCCCCAAAAAAGAACACTCAGTTAAACTTGAATTTCAGATCAAATGAGTGGTATCTTAATTTAAGTGTATTCTGTAGACATTCCTGTGCTAAAATATGTCCCAAAGACATACTTAGGCTATAAAAATTGCATTATTTTGTCTAAAATTCAAACTTAACTAGGCATCCTTTATTTTTATTTATTTGTTTATTTATTTTTGCCTGTCCTGGAGCTTAAGCTCATGGCTTGGGCACTGTCCCTGAGTCTCTCTGTGCTCAAGGGTAGTGCTCTACCACTTGAGCCACAGTGCTACTTTCGGCTTTTTCTGTTGATGTGGTACTGAGGAATCAAACCCAGGGCTTCATGTATGCTAGACAAGCACTCTACCACTAAGCCACATTCCCAGCCTGGCATCCTTTATTTTTATTTATTTGTTTGTTTGTTTATTATTTGTCGGTCGTGGGGCCTGAACTCTGGGCCTGGGCGCTGTCCCTCAGCTCTTTAGCTCAAGGCTAGCACTCTACCACTTGAGTGCCTCTTCTGGGTTTTTTTGCTTATGTGGTGCTAAGGAATCGAACCCAGGGCCTCATGCATGCAAGGCAAGCACTCTACCACTGAGCCACCTTCCCAGCCCCCTTTCTTTTTAATATAGGAGGAAGGAAGGAAGCCTTCAGTGTGAGGAGGAGGGACATAGGACAGAGGTGGCTTGAGCTGAATTATTTAGGCCAACCAGGCTTTCTAGACTACATGTTTGAGGAGTGGGGAGTGAGACATGGTATGGCATACACAAAGGCTTCCTTGGGAAGGAGAATAAAGGGATGAGGAAGAGGAGACAAGAACGGTAAACTGGCCAGAGTGCACTTGCCAGCTTCCTGGGCAAGGGTAGAAGAGGAGAAAGCGACACCACCCCCACCCCCACTGCACCCCCCACCACGTTGACTTGGTGGTAGAATAATAAAGGGGAGGTAGGCAGAAGACTGGGGAAGTTGGGAAGGCATGTCTGAAGGTGAGGAGTCTCAAGTACATGGGAGAGGCCTCTGGATAGAAGAATTCAAACAGAATACCTAGTGCCTAGCTTGTTCTGGGTCTCCAGAGCTTGTTCTGGCTGTATCACCCACTCACACCTGCTTGGGAACAGCCTTACACTTTACCATCCTTGCTCCAGGCTGCTGCATCAAAAGGGACTTCCTGGCAGGGAAAAGGAATGTCACCTGGTTTCACAGCATTTGTGCACAGTGGGCTCCTTCCCACTAAGGAGACCTTTGTCTTCCCCCAGGCCTCTCTAATGTGAGTGTTTTGTTAGGGCTGTTTCTGTGATGAAAGTAGACTAGACCAGGAGACTCTACTCCATTTCCTCTTCATTCCCAAGCCCCATCCCAGAGCTGAAGCAGGTTAGGGACAGATATCAGTACACAAACAGGTACACATACACATTCCAGCCTCAGTTCTCAGTGGCAGGTAAGAGAATTGGAGGACCTGCGTCATACTGAGGCCAGTCTGTGATGCTGGTAAAAATTGTACTGTCCACATTGTGAGCCTCTTGTTCCTCATGTATGTACCCACATACATACCCACTTCCAGTTACTGTGTCTCATAGCTCAAATGGAACTGCTACCAAAATGGTCTCCTGTGGGCTGAGTTTCTGTGGACAAAGGGACTGAGGCCTTGTCAGTGCTACTGTTAGGGTCAGGTCAAGGAGAAAAATTCTCTTCCTCCAGGCTGGAGTGAGGCAGGGTGGACCAGCACACTTGGTGGAGGGCAGCTTAGTCTCATTTTCAGATGGTTTCTGCTGTTTTCTGATTCCAGCAGTTTTTATGAAACATGAAGGCAATTAGTTGGTGTCAGTGAACCTGGGACAGGTGCTAGCTGGGCGGTCTTACGGACTCCTACTTTGTTACTGTGGTGTGAAAACAGTTTCTGCCCTCGGCCTACCTTCCGAGCCCTGTAGAGTGGGCTTTCTCATATTCTCTCACTAGCCCAGGCTTCAGTTGTTGCTACAGGAGTATCTAGTTTAGATAGCAGGTATTTTCAGGTACCCTCAGTATATAAAGAAAACTCCAGTGAACACATGGGTGTTCAGTTGTTCACTGTTTAAAGTCCTGGCCTCTGTTCAAGTTCCGGCTGGGGATGATGTGGCTGTGGTAATGTTTTGGGTAAAAGATGAGCCTGGCCCCTTGTTGACACTGGCTGGAGATATCTGGCTGTGGAGGTTCTGGGAGCAGACTGAGGGGGCAGCCAAGTGGCCCAGGGCCAAGTTCCTCCTGGCTCTTGGGATCCAAGCTTCCCAGTGGATACAGTGGTTGAATGGGCAGTGCAGGGCAAAGAGTTGTGTTCTCTGAGGTACTTCAGGCAAGGCACTGCCTTCTGGGTCTGGCTTGCATGTATGTAAAACATGAGGTAAAAATAATTGGTTCTTGGGCTGGGAAAGTGGCATGAGACCCTGGATTTAATTCCTCAACACCACATAAGCAGAAAAATCCGGGAGTGGCGCTGTGGCTTAAGTGGTAGAGCATTAGCCTTGAGCTGAAGAGCTGAGGGACAGCACCCAGGCCCAGAGTTCAGCCCCACAACCAACAAAATAAAATAAAATAAAATAATTGGTTCCTAAAAGATAGAACGCAACAACAATAACAACAACAATATCAGTTCTGGTCAGGCAGTAGTGGCTCATGGCTGTAACCCTAGCTACTTAGGAGGCTGAGATCTAAGGATCATGGATTGAAACCAGCCTGGTCAGGAAAGCCTGTGAGACTCTCCTCTCCAATTAAACACAAAAAGCCAGAAGTGCAGCTGTGGTTCAAGTGGTAGAGCACTAGCCTTGAGCAAAAAAGCTCAGGAATAGTGCCCAGGACCTGAGTTCAAGCCCTATAACTGGCATAAAACAAACAAAAAAATTGTTCAGAGCCCCCATTTGCCCCTACTCTGCTTTTTAAATATAAAGTATTTCTATTACTTGGGAGATAGAGATCAAGATTAGGGAGGATTGCCAGGTTCTGATGTCCTATGTCTGTAATCCTGGCTACTCCAGAGGCTGAGATTTGAAGATTGAAGTTTGAAGACTATTCCTTGTCATCACCAAAAAACTAGAAATGTAGCTGTGGCTTACGTGGTAGAGTGCTAGGCTCGAGCACAAAAGCTCAGTGATAATGCCCTCAGTTCAGGCTCCAGGACCCATACCCAAAAAAAAGAGCGAGAGATTAAGGAGGATTATGGTTTGAGGCTAACTTGGGAAGGTTAGTGAGGCCTCCAGTCTTAACCAACAAGTACAGAATGGGTGCCTATGGTTCTAGTTACCTGGAGGCATGAATAAAATGATCACAGCCTGGGCAAAATCACAAGATCTTATCTCAAAAGTAACTATAAATGCATAAAAAGAAGGGCTGGAGATACAGGGCTCAAGTGGTAAAGCACCTGTCCATAGGCATGAGGTCCAGTACTGCAAAATTAGCAAAGAAAACTGTGTAATAGAGAATTCTGGGGTCTTGTCCAAATCATGGGGCTTGCACTGTCCCTGAGCTCCTTTTGCTCAAGGTTAGCACTCTACTGCTTGAGCCATAGCTCCACTTCCAGCTTTTTCTGTTTATGTGGTACTGCTTTATGCATGCTAGGCAAGCACTCTACCACTGAGCCACATTCCCAGCCCCTCTTGTCCAAGTTCTTGCCACCAGCCTTCCCTGTGACCTGGGGCTGCAGGTGCTTCATTTGTAACATGGGAAATAGGTAAATCTTTAAAAGCTTACTATGAGCAGGACACCATTCTGTGTGTCTTCTATGTCCTTAGTCCTCCCAGCAGCTGTGCTGCTCCTAGAGATAGGAGTAGGATTACTGTCCTGGTTTCTAAGCAGAGTGTAAGTAACCTGCCCAGGTTCACTCAGCTGGCTTGTCAGTGGAGGTAGCCAGGAAGTTTAGCTCATGCCTTTCGCCTTATAGCTGTGTTGCAGAGATAATACCATCTTCCCTACACAAACAGCTGAATGAAATGACTCCAACACAGCATAGCTTAGGATGACTGGAGGGGCACCCTCTTGCTAGCATGTCCCTCCTGCTCTCATGGTGTTGGATCTGTGTAGCCTCAAGGAGGACATTTCTAAACTGTCCCAAACAGGCTATGACAGCATCACATTGCTGTGTAAATGGTGAAACAATGAGTACCCTCTTGCACTTTTTTTTGTCAGCTGTGGGGCTTGAACTCAGGGCCTGGGTGTCATCCCTGAGCTTTTATTCTCAAGGCTAGCACTCTACCACTTTTTTTTTTTTGGTCGGTTGTGGGGCCTGAATTCTGGGCCTGGGTGCTGTCCCTCAGCTCTTCAGCTCAAGGCTAGCACCCTACCACTTAAGCCACAGTGCCATTTCCAGCTTTTTTCTGCTTATGTGGTGCTGAAGAATTGAACTCAGGGCCTCATGCATGCCAGGCTAGCACTCTACCACTAAGCCAACTTCTCAGCCCCATGCACTTTACCACTTTGAGCCACAGTGACACCTCTGGTTTTCTGGTGGTTAATTGGAGATAAGAGTCTCATGGATTTTCCTGGGCTGGCTTTGAACAGTGATCCTCAGATGTCAGCCCCCTGCGTAGCTATTACCGATGTGACCAGCACCTGTCTCCCTCTTGCACTTTTGCAGAACATCAACCCCTGGTGTACCTCCCCTCCCCTAGGCCTTGAGGCTCCTCTGCTTTCATAGTGTGTGGGTTGGATAACAGACACGATACATGTCCTCTGTCTCTGCGAGCATGGTAGTTCTAGTCCCTGCTACTATCTGAGCATGCATGGCCTGTAGACTCATGGGGCCTGTACAGAAGGTGAGATGGTAGTGGCAGCCTTGCTTCCAGGGCTTACTGCTCTGCTGCCTCAGAAAGGCAATGAAAGCTAAGTAAAGAGACTTTATCTAAAGTATGGTAGACCTTCCCTATCTACCTACCTCCCCTTGCCTTGCCTTTTCCTAATTGTCATTATAAAAGTGATACCTACAAATGATTTTTTTAAAGTTCCACATTATGTTAAAAATCACCTTTATTTATCCTGTTTTTTTTTTTTTAAGCAACTCATGATTACTGACTTGTGCTTCTAACTCTGAGTGCCATTTTTATGGGTTTCTTGATCCTTCACATAAGTGGTGAAACACCACCTGTCTCTCACCTGCAAGGCCCCTCACGGTCTCTCCTTCCTTTTCTCTCCTACAGATTACCAGTTGACCAGTGCAGAGCTCTCCTCCTTACCAGCCTTCAGCTCACCTGGGGGACTGTCGCTAGGCAATGTTACTGCCTGGCAACAACCCCAGCAGCCACAGCAGCCACAGCAACCACAGCCACAGCCACAGCAGCCACAACAGCCACAACAGCCACAGCCACAGCAGCCTCAGCAGCCGCAACAGCCACCTCAGCAACAGCCCCACCTGGTCCCCGTATCTCTCAGCAACCTCATGTGAGTCCTCAGGAGGCTTTCCACAGGGATTCCAAGCGGGGAGGAGAAGAGGGTCCTCTGGAGAATGGGTCCCCTTCAAGGTTGTTTGTATTCAGTAGATAACACGTGAGGTTGTGTAGATGTAAGTGGCAGCCTTTGGCCCACACAGATCCAGGAGACAGCTTTAGCTTGGGCCCCTCCCTCCAGCTAGCCCAGGGAGGATATGAGGGTGGAGGGTGTGCTGGGCACAGAAAGTGTCATGGGATCGAATGGGACTAATATTACCTATTTCCCTCTCTCCCCTTCTTTTGACCCTCTTCTCTCTATCCATGTGTCTCTCCCTCTTTCCCTTCATATATCTCTGTCCTCTCTTGCTCTGTCTTGTATCTTTGTCTGTAATTCACTCTGAACCCTATCCCCATTGCCTGCCTCCAGCCCAGGCAGCCCCTTGCCCCATGTGGGTGCTGCCCTCACGGTCACAACTCACCCCCACATCAGCATCAAGTCAGAACCGGTGTCCCCAAGCCGTGAGCGCAGCCCTGCGCCGCCTCCTCCAGCTGTGTTCCCGGCTGCCCGCCCTGAGCCTGGTGACGGTCTCAGCAGCCCTGCAGGGGCATCCTATGAGACCGGGGACCGGGATGATGGACGGGGGGACTTCGGGCCCACACTGGGCCTGCTGCGCCCAGCCCCAGAGCCAGAGGCTGAGGGCTCGGCTGTGAAGAGGATGCGGCTTGATACCTGGGTACTGTAGCATCACCCTTCCTGTCTGCCAGTGTCTGCTACACCCAGGGACTGCCCCAATGTGCCCCCAACCTGTTTTTTCTCCCACCTGAGAGGCCTTGTGGCCGGGTAGCCCTTCCACCAGCCCTTTGGGGCCAGCACCACTTTCCCCTTTACCCCTCCAAAGGCCCACCTTTCCTCCCTCCCAGCATCAGATCCGTGCTTGATGACCCTCACAGCTGGCCCTGCATTAGAGCCCTGGCCCCATGGGAGAGGGAATGGGGTGTACACTGAAGGCAGGGCCTCCCCTCACATCCCCTCTCCATCTCCTCTCTTCACAGACATTAAAGTGACGGTTCCCACCCCCCTCCTCTCAGCCTCCCTGATGAAGAGTTGACAATCTCACCGCCCACCCCTCCCTGTCCTGGGCTCCTCCCGCTCGACCCCCACTTCCTTTCTTGTGCTCCATGTCCTGTTGACGGTTACATTTGTGTATAATTATTATATTATTATTATTATATTTTTTTTAATTTGGATTCTCGCTTTGGAGAGAGGGATGCTCTCATCCCCTTTCTCACCGCCCCCCACCATTTTCACTGGTGGGGGCTCTCTTTTTGCGGGAAGGGGGGGTCACTTTGCACGTTGTACACATATGCTGCAGGAAGGGGGTGGGGAGCCCGGTACGCCTTTGGGAAAGGACAGGTGCCGAGCCCTGCATGTGGAGCCCTCCCACCCCATCCCCCAGACAGAGGGAAAGAACCAAAAACTACCAAGCAACAAAAACCCATACAACAGACTGAACCCCAAAGTTGGCTTGATGGTGGGTTTGTGTTTCAAGGGGAATGTGAAGAGGCAGAAGTCCTCTGCTTCTGGGCTGTTCACACGGTGGTAGGCACACAGGCCAGTTCCCAAGCCTGGCCCCCCCCCCACCTCCTCTGCACACATACACAAACACTCTGATCCTTGTGCGTGCTGCATCCCTAAGGTCTGCGGGTGCTGGGAAGGCTGCCTGAGATTCTGAAGCTGGGGCAGGGCTTTGAGGTGGAGCCTCTCTGGTAGCACATTGGAGATACAGACACAACCATGAGGAGAGGGCTGAGAAGGACAGAAGGGCTGGGCAAGGGATGAACTGGGGTCCTCCCCCCCCCAGCTTTTTCTCTAAGATATACAGTGCAATAGCTCCCCATCCCTCAGTTGACCCAGCCCCATAAGCTGGCCACAAGTGCAGGGAGACTGGGGAGAGGAACTCCAGTGAGGTAGCCTCAGGGCTGGGCCAGTCAGCCTTAAGCTCCTCTGGGGTGCTTGAGAGCTAGAGCCTTCCATCCGTGGGGCAGCTATGGAGAGGGCACTTTGACCCAGAGGAGTGGACACTGGGATGGTCTGCAGAGGCAGGAGGCCCCCACAGTGAGGTCTACTGGTCCAGGGCCTCCCGGGCCCCTCCTCCTTGTTCCTCTGCCCCAGCTCCCTGCTCTTGGCACCCTCATTGTCTTGCTACCTCCTAGTCCCACCACCTCCAGGCTGCATCCCACCTTCCCTCTTGGCTACTGTAATTGTAAATAGCGACCTTTGGAAAACCTTAGCAGTGTAACAGTCCAGGAAACTGGTTTTTTTTTTTTGTTGTTGTTGTTGTATTGATATGAAATGAGATTCTATTTTTGTCAAAGTATATTGTAATAATAATGACTCAAATGGCCCGTACTGTACAGATGAGATTCTTCTGCTGTTCTTGCTCCCTTTCCCTCCCCAAGTCTGCCCGCTCTGCTGCCTCCTCAGTGGGGCTGCAGGTAGGGGCCCAGGGGCAGTGAAAATACAGAATCCTGAGACTCAGGCTGGATTAGAGATCAAACTGGAGGGGGCAGGCCCCTGGCCTCTTCTGTTCTGCCACACGCCCTCAAGGGCCTGGACTAGGCCAACAGGCCTACCCTCTTACTCCACACAAGCCCAGCCCCTCTGCCCAGGGAGGCAGTGCTCCCATTTGGAGCATAGAGTTAGACAAGATCCATTTTTGTGATAGACTATGGTCTTTGCCTGCCTATGACCCACCCTCTTGCAGTATTTCAACACTTGATGCAAAGAAGGAGCCAGAAGCAGAGGGGTGTGTGACCACACACAACCTGAGTGTGCTCATGAGGGCATCTGGTATTTTATGTGTCTGAGTGTAGTGTACCCTTGTATTTATGTATGTGTGTATGGTTGCAGGGGGTATGTACCTTTGTGTGCCTCTGAGCCTGGCTGGGTGACTCTTAGTATGACTGGAGCTCTGAGGGTTATGTCTCTGTCTGTGTGGCTGGATGTGTGTTTACAAAAGGACAGGTGGCTGTGCCAGCCCCTCAGCCCTGGCTTCCAAGCTCTGTGATCCCACTCCCTTCTACTCCTGCCCTCAGCTTGGATGTGTTCGTACTGCAGTTAGGGGGCCTTTGGCAGTCGGCCCACTTTACTTGTCCCCACAGCCTACCTCTGCCAGGGCTTCCTTCCAAGAGCCTTTGCTTCAACACACAGCGTCCACTTAGTCCCCAACACCTTGACATGCAGTTCCCTTTCCTGGAGTTGTCCTTCCTTTCCTACTTTCAGAGCAAAATTAAGTCCTCTTTCTCCCTGAAGCTTTGTCCTCCACTATACGGTGATCTTTCTCACTCATGGCTTCACTCACTGACTAGGCAAGGACTTTGGCCCACCTCTCCCTACAGTTCTTAGATGGAGTTTCAAGAACTGATGGGACTAAGGGTATAGCTCAGTGGTGGAGCACTTCCTAGCATGCATGAGGTCCTGGATTTCATCCTCAGCACTGAAGGGGGAAAAATACTGATCAGGGCTTTGAAAGAAGCTAGGGTGTAGTTCTGTGCACATGTGCTCTTCAGAGCTTTGCCTAGTGCCTGGTACATAGTAGGTGTTCAATAAATGCTGAATGAGTGAATGGTTAAATGATAGGTGCTCAATAAACATCAAATGACTGGCCTCTTAGGCTATTCCCACCATCACTCTGTACACTTTTCTAGGCTGAGCTTGGCCACCACTAAACGCAGTGGGGGTAGGCTAAGGACCCCTGTAGTTCTTGTTTCAATATTCACCAGTTACCAGTTTCTCCCTCTGCCTCGTGAAGACAGACCTACTTTGTGTGTGTGTGTGTGTGTGTGTGTGTGTGTGTGTGTGTGTGTGTCCCCATCCCCTTCTCTATCCCTGACAAGAGGGGTTGGTCTGTGAATGAATATGTGACATTTCTGCAATTTAGTATCCCAAGGTTTTTCTTAGGGGTAGAGGTTACTTACTGGCTGGCCAGATGGATGGGTCCCTGAGAACCCAAATCTCAAGTGGAGACTTAATTTCTTCTTCCTCTCACAAGCCAAATTTGCCCCCACCCACTCTCTAAAAAAAACTGGGCATTTGCCAAAGTAATCACTGGAGTCATTCAATTCCCCACCCCTCCCCAAGTTTCCCACAGCTTTCAGGGACAGTGGGCAAGAGGACCCCCACACACCTCAATGGAACACACACCATTTCCTGCCCCCCCCCCCTAACAGTGCATTCAATGCAGCGAGACTGACCCTTGGCCCCTACCCAACCCTCCCCATCTTGGACAGGAAGGAAGTAATGCACCTTCTCTTGCTGATTATTTATTTGTTTGGAGAGACAGAAATGATGTAAAAGTGTATCTAGAAATATCTATATCTATATATTTTTAACTTACTCCTTGGAATCCCCTGGGGAAGGGGGTGGAGGGATTGGAGCTGTCATGGAGGCCTGGAGACATGGAGCCTGGGAACTCCTTGTTCTCCTCTCTTTGCCTCTCCCCACCCCTAAGCAGTGAATAGAAGGACTGGGATTTGTATGGGGAAGGGGGGGTGGGTGGGATGTTCCTTGGAGAATCTGGATTCTCTGTTCTACCCCCATTCAAGTCCCAGGGGGGGAGGGGGGAGGAAAGGGGAGGGAGGGAGGGGTGGGACAGCCACAGAGGTGACCCACTCCCAAACCCGACAATCACCCACACTCCTAGGGCTCCTGGGTCCTGGGCAGGGCGAGTCCAAGTGTGTGGCTGTTGATTTGTTTTCAATATTTCTTTTCGTGCTGTATGGTGATGCTTTCTTAGTATTCTACACAATAAGAAGACAAAGTCCTTGAGATTCTTATGAGTTTTGTTTGAAAACTCTTTCACTATATTTGTTGTAAAGAGGTTTACTATTAAAAAAAAAAAGAATACACGTTTCTGATACTTTGGCTTGGGTTTTGCTTTTTTGGGGGGTAACAAAGGAGGGGAAGGCAGGTCTGGGGTGGCTCTGGCATGGGGAGAGGCCAGTGCTTCCCCTCAGCTGGGAAGGTTAGTAGACTTGTTTGGTCATCTGTGAGGGAAGGTGCTACCAGTTCCTCAAGTGCCTGAATTTCTTCCAGAAAGAGACAGCCCTAGGGTTAACTTGATGTCCAGTTAAATACCCCAGGAGAGGTGGAGCAGTGGCTCAAGCATATAATCTCTAGCACGGGGCTAGGAAGGTGGCTCAGTGGTAGAGCGCTTGCTTTGCATGCCTGAGGCTCTGGGTTCGATTCCTCAGCACCACATAAGCAAAAACAAAAAAGCCGGAAGTGGCACTGTGGCTCAAGTGGTAGAGCACTAGCCTTGAGCTGAGGAGCTGAGGGACAGCGCCCAGGCCCTGAGTTCAGGCCCCTTGACCGGACCCCCCTCCCCCCAAAAAAATCTCTAGCACATTGGATTTTTTTTTTTCCGCCAGTCATGGGGCCTGAACTCTGGGCCTGGGCACTGTCCCGCAGCTCTTCAGCTCAAGGCTAGCGCTCTACCAATGGAGCCACAGCGCCACTTCCAGCTTTTTTGTTCATGTGGTGCTGAGGAATCGAACCCAGGGCCTCATGCATGCAAGGCAAGCACTCTACCACTTAGCCACCTTTCCAGCCCCTCTAGCACATTGGAAAGAAGAGATCAGGGGATCTAGGTTTGAGGCCACACTGGGCATAAAAGTTTGTGAGACTCCACCTCATTCAGTAGCTGGGTGCAATGGTGCATACTTGTGACACCCAATGACAAAGAAGCATGAGTAGGATTGCAATCCAGGCTAACCTGGGCATAAGGCAAGAACCTGCCTTCAAAATAACCCACCCAGGCTGGGAAGGTGGCTCAGTGGTAGAGTGCTTGCCTCACATGCATGAGGCCCTGGGTTCGATTCCTCAGCACCACCACATAAACAGAAAAAGCCAGAAGTGGTGCTGTGGCTCAAGTGGTAGAGCGCAGCCTTGAGCTGAAGAGCTGAAGGACAGTGCCCAGGCTCAGAATTCAAGCCCCAAGACCAACCAAAAAAATAAAAAATAAAAATAACCAACCCTAGCTATAATCCTAGCTACTCAAGAGGCTGAGATCTGAGGACTGTGGCTCAAAGCCAGCTTGGGCAGGAAAGTCCATGAGACTCTTACCTCCAGTTAACCACCAGAAGACCAGAAGTGGCACTGTGGTTTAAAGCAGTAGTGCTCTAGCCTTGAGGAAAAAAGACCCTAGGGACAGCACCCAGGCCCCAAGTTCAAGCCCCATGATTAACATCAACAGAGGAAAACAAGGTATAAAGGAGGAGTTGGAGGTAGCTCAGATGATGAGTACCTTGTGGATGTGATGCCCTAAATTAAATCCCCACAGTACAGTTGGGCCAAGGACTAGACGTGAGGACTAGAGGAAGTGGTTCGCTATTGGCAGGGTTTGGCCACTCCTCTAAACCTGGCCTATGCTAACTAAGGAGCTTCAGAAACAAAATGAGTGAGGGATTTAGTAGCCAGAAGAGGTCTACAAATGTCTAAAATTCACACTGCATGTTTAGCTATTGTTGCTGAACATGGAGTTGTAACAGTAGAGTCAGACAAGCCACAAAATGTTTTCGAGCCTCGGATCTTCTTATCTACAAAACACCATCTGCTGATCCTACCTCCTTCACAAGGTTATTGCAGACTTCAGCAAGCAGGGATAGAAGGACAGTGAACAGAATAAGATCTGGGTGCCAGCGGGTCACACTTGTAATCCTAGTTACTCAGGAGGCAGAGATTTGAGGATCGTGATTTGAAGCCAGCCAGTCTGGGCAGAAAGTCCCCATGATACGCTTATCTCCAATTAACTACTCAGAAACTCTTAAGAGTTCAAGCCCCATGACCTACAAAATAAAAAGGGCTGAGAAGGTGGCTCAGTGGTAGAGCGCTTGCCTTGCATGCCAGAGGCCCTGGGTTCAATTCCTCAGCACCATATAAGCAAAAAGAAAAAAGCCAGAAGTGGCGCTGTGGCTCAAGTGGTAGAGCGCTAGCCTTGAGCTGAAGAGCTGAGGGACAGTGCCCAAGCCCAGAGTTCAGGCCCCACAACCGGCCCCCCCCAAAAAAAAAAAGTAAAGGGTTGGGAAGGTGGCTCACTGGTAGAGTGCTTGCCTTGCATGCATGAGGCCCTGGGTTTGATTCCTCAGCACCACATAAGCAGAAAGATAAAAGCCGGAAGTGGTGCAAGTGGTAGAGCACTAGCCTTGAGCTGAAGAGGTGAGGGACAGCGCTCAGGCCCAGACTTCAGGCCCCACGACTGACAAAAACAAAAAAAAACTCTTAAGTGGAGCTGTGGCTAAAAACTGGCAGAGTCGTAACCTTGATCAAAATCACTCAGGGACACTTCCCAGCCAGGCCCTGAGTTCAAGCCCCATAACTGACCAAAAAAAAAAAAAAGAAGATACTGTCCTCCAGAATGG